GCCACTGCACTCCAGTCTGGGCGACAGAGTGAGACTCCAACTCAAAAACAAAAAAAGAAACTGGGTGTGAGGAGGCAGCGGCCGGTGCTGGCTCTAGACCCTCCTGGCTAAATGGGGACTCAGCCAGGTGACTGGAAGCTTTCTCTTCCTTCCACCGCTGGGGTGTGACATTCAAGGTCAGACATTGTAGAAAGCTGTTTGGAGAGGATAGGTTTCCCCTGCTTTTTTTTTTCTGAGTTGGGGTCTCACTCTGTGGCCCAGGCTGGAGTGCAGCGGCAAGATCATGGCTCACCACAGCCTCACCCTCCTGGGCTTAGGTGATCCTTCCACCTCAGGCTCCTGAGTAGCCGGGACTTCAGGTATGCACCACCACACCTGGCTAATTTTGTTGTTGTTTTGTTGTACAGACAGCGTCTCGCTATGTTGCCTAGGATGGTCTTGAACTCCTGGTCTCAAGTGATCCTCCCACCTCGGCCTCCCAAAGTGCTGGGATTCCAGGCACATGCCTCCATGCCCAGTTAATTCTTTTGTTTTGTTTTTGTAGGGATGGGGTCTTGCTACGTTGCCCAGGCTGGTCTCGAACTCCTGGGCTCTAGCGATCCTCCCACCTTGGCCTCCCAAAGTGCTGGGATTACAAGGCATGAGCCACTGCACCCAGCCAGCCTCCCTTGCCAGTCTTTCTTTTTTGATTAAGGGGAAGGCGCCCCTTTTAAACCATTCTGTCTTCAAACAATGTGTGCCTCTTAAAAAAAGAGGACAGAAGTGGACTCGCAGCACATGTATCCCATTACTTGATTCTCTGGTTTGATACTACATGTGAGATTAATCCACGTTAGGGTATGGAGCTGTGGTTCACCCATTCCCCTTCTTTGCAGCCTCATCTGACTCCATTATGACTTCGTCCTGGTCACGTGCATACATGCCTGGAGTTGAGACACTGCTTTTTTTTTTAATTTGGGGTCTCACTCTGTCACTCAGGCTGGAGTGCAGTAGCGCGCTCACGGCCACCACAGCCTCAACCTGCTGGCTTCAGGCGATCCTTCCGCTTCAGCCTTCCAAGTAGCTGGAACTACAGGCGTGCACTACCATCCATACCCAGCTAATTTTTTGATTGATTGTAGAGACGAGGTCTCACCATGTTGCCCAGCCTGGTCTTGAACCCTTGGACTCAGGCAATCCTCTCGCCTCAGCTTCCCAAAATGCTGGGATGGCAGGCATGTGCCACCACACCCAGCGAATTTTTTGATTTATTGTAGAGATGAGGTCTCGCCATGTTGCCCAGGCTGGTCTTGAACCCCTGGACTCGGGCAATCCTCTCGCCTCTGCCTCCCAAAGTGCTGGGATGACAGGCATGAGCCACCGTGCCCGGCGAGACACTGCTTTCTAAGACTTATCTCTCTGTCTTCCTTGTTCCAGGGTGATGGTCCTCGACAGCGGGAAGATTGTAGAATACGGCAGCCCTGAGGAGCTGCTGCAGACCTCCGGCCCCTTCTATCAGATGGCCAAGGAAGCGGGCATCGAGAATGTGGACAACACGGCCTTCTAGAAGCAGGACCCTGGCTCAGAGAGGACAGTGGCGATCCTTCCTTATTTAATGACATTTGTTGTGAAAGATGTCATACGTACAAAAGTGTGTAAGGAAGCACCCAGGCACCTGCTACCCGGGTGGAGAAAATGCACACTACTAGGTGCCATGAAAACCCCTCGACTGCTCCGCCTTGATCAAGCCCCCCGTGAGCCACCCCTCCCAGAGACAGCTGCTCTCCTGAACTTCACTGAGATCGTCCTTGCCTTTCATCCCCATTTTACCACCTTTGTATGTATCTCCAAACAGCATGCACCTTTTTTAACTTATGTAAACGGACTGACTTCTGCTGTGCGTGTTACTCTCTGACTTGATGCTTTTTGCTCAATATTATCCTTGAGATTCACCCATGTTGGTACAAAGAGTAAGGCTCCTTCATTTTTTTACTGCTCTTTAACCTTGCATTGTATGAATATGCCGCGATTTAGCCATTTTAATATTGGTGGGCATTAGGACTTTTTACAGGATTTTTTTAGAAGTAGAAACAATGAGGCTGAGGCGAGAGCATTGCCTGAGCTCAGAGGTTTGAGACCAGCCTGAGCAACATGGTGAGACCTCATCTCTACAATAAATAAAAAATTCAGCCAGGCGTGGTGGCGCAGCCTGTGGTTCCAGCTACTTGGAAGGCTGAAGCAGAAAGATCACCTGAGCCTAGCAGGTCGAGGCTGTGGTGGCCGTGAGCGTGCCGCTGCACTCCAGCCTGGGTGACAGAGTAAGACTCCAACTCAAAAAAAAATAGGAACAATATTGCTATGAATATTCTAGCATACACCTTCTGGGACGCATGTGGAAGAGTTTCGCTGGAGTATAACCCGGGAATAGAGTTGGCACATGTGTTTACCTGCACTCACTAGCTAGTGTCAAACTGATAATGCCAACTTAACACATTTTGTCCATTTGATGAGCATAATTTGGTACCTCATTGAGAGTTGATTTGCATTTCCCTGGTTACTATTATTGTTTTTTTTAAAGTATTGTGTCTGATAATTTAAATACCTGAATTCTTTGCCATCTGTTGTTTCTGTTGGTTTTTATTCATGGTGTCTTATCTCCTTGTATGCCTTGTGAATTTTTATTATAAGCTCATTCTCCTTAGAACTTTATCTGTGGATGTTCTTTGAAGCCTGAGTTGAACACGAGTTCTTCCCGAGAGGAGCCTCAAACGCATCTGTGATGCCTGGGGAACTCTACCCGGAACGCTTTTGAATTCAACTCTCCACTACAGGGACTCAAACCAAAGAGCGTGGCTTCAGACCACAGTCTCATCCATCACGATCCGGCTTGTGATTACAGATCTCGGACTGTAGGTTGGGGACTGGCGTGGGCTTTGTGGTTGCTGACTTCTGAGTCCTGCATGGTAGGCTGACTCCTGGCAGGGGTAGCCCTTTCAGGACACAGGTGTTCCAGGGGGCTCCTCTTTTAGTCTCCATCTTAGTGGGCCTTGGCTTCATCTCTTGCTCTGGCATGATGGATTGCCATGAGATGGGACTTCAACATCCCCAGGTTTTAAGCCAGCCTAAGCATCGGCCCTTCTTTGCCACCCGGGACCATTTGTGTCATGCTATCTTGGGTTCATCATATTTTTCACTTCCATTTCAGTGGTGTAATTGTGGAGATTTTGATTTGTCCAGTACATCACTGCTTCGTGAGGTGCTCAGAGCATTCACCTTCTTAAAGGATGTATAGCTGTAGTTACCATGCTGGTTTCCCTGAATAATTACAGGTTGCAGCTATCATCTCAGCATTTTTTTTTTTTGAGTTGGAGTCTCACTCTGTCGCCCAGACTGGAGTGCAGTGGCATGCTCCCGGCCACTGCAGCCTTGACCTGCTGAGCTCCAGTGATCCTTCCACCTGTCTTCCAAGTAGGGGAACTACAAGTGCACGTTACCATGCCCGGCTAATTTTTTGATTTATTGTAGAGACGAGGTCTCGCCAAGTTGCCCAGGCAGGTCTCAAACCTGCAGGCTCAGGCAGTCCACTCACCGAGCCTCCCAAAGCGTGGGATTACAGGCTGAACCACTGAGCTTGGCTAGCATTTTTTTAAGTGGGGGTCTCATGATGTAGCCCAGGCTGGAGTTCAGTGCCATGCTCATAGTTTACGGCAGCCTCGACCTCCTTGGCTCAGGCGATCCTTCCACCTCAGCCTCCCAAGTAGCTGGGACTACAGACTTGCGCCACCACAGCTGGCTAATTTTTAAATTTTTTGTGGAGATGAGGTCTTCCCAAATTGCCCAGGCTGGTCTCGAACTCCTGGGCTCAGGCAATCCTCTTGCCTTGGCAAAAGTGCTGGGATGACAGGCATGAACCACTGTACCTGTTCTGTCTCAGTATAGTTACATTTCCCCCTTTCACTCTAAAAACTGTCTAGTTCAGACAATATAATTGTGTGGTCTTCCTACACGTAGTCCTGTGACTTAGATTTCAAATCGGCATGGATGGTGCTCGACAAAACTGTACAAATACTGACACTCTGACTGGGGGCTATACATGGGGAAGCCCCTCCCTGATTCTGTAAAGCAGATGTGGCACATGGTGGATAGTCTCTCATTGTTGCCTATTTTTCAAGGTTTGCCTTAGAAATCTACACCTGCCCAGCATGGTGGCTCACGCCTATAATCCCAGCTCTTTGGGAGGCCGAGGTGAGAGGATTGCCTGAGTTCACAGGTTCGAGATCAGCCCGGGCAACTTGGCGAGACCTCATCTCTACAATAAATCAAGAAATTAGCTGGATGTGGTGATGCATGCCTGTAGTTCCAGCTACTTGGAAGGCTGAGGTGGAAGGATCACCTGAACCCAGTAGGTCAAGGCTATGGTGGCCGTGAGAGTGCCACTGCACTCCAGTCTGGGCGACAGAGTGAGACTCTGACTCAAAAAAAAAAAGAAATCTATACCTGTTTATGTACATGAAATGTGGCTCCTCTAAAGTGAAGATTAGTGTACTAATCTAGGATGCCATCACTTGTAGAATACCCATTATTTTATGCACCACTAAGAAAGAATACTGCCAGTTAAGATCTGGAATGCCCCGTTGGTAAGATGCATCCTATGTGTGGAGTGAAAAAATCGCACTTTAGGGTTAAGACAAGACAGTGCCTCCAAAGTTCTGTAAGATCTCAGTCATGTCCTTTATCTGTGCAGTGTATCTTTTGTTCTTTTTTTCCTGATTTCCAATGTCGATTGCTTTTTAAATCCAATATCATCATCCTCGTCATCTACCTAATCTCTTTTTCTTGACTGTGTTTATTTTTCACTGCCAGGTAACTAACCATTGTTTTTGCCATCTATTCTTTCTGATAACTGGAATTTCAAATAACAGCACTTCTTTCTTTCTTTGTTTTCACCAGTGTTTCTTTTTAAAGCACCTTCCTACACACACACTTTCCAATTTGTTTCTTAAAACATATTTCTACACATGAGATCATTTGGAGAAGCAGGAGGAACTTTGGAAAACAGAGAAGAGTTTACACCTGCTAAGCGCTGCCTGCAAAAGGCAGAGGTGTGCAGTGTAGACAAAGCCCCACAGATGGAAACAGACTTCCAGGAGTTGAGGCTGGTAGCTTCTCAACGTGTTTCCCAAACAAGATGGTCCAGACTGGCTCTGTGAACTTCGAAGAGTCGCAGTCATCACTATTTATTTATATCTGCAAAATGTCTGACACTGTGAATTCAGTTTTTTAAAAGCAGTTTAATATAAGCCAAATAAAGATGACGTTCCACTGTGGCTAAGTGACTATTCCTTTTGTAGACTGAATGTTGATGTCGAGTGGAAGGGGGTGTTATTGGTCCATGGGTTTTTGACTTCGCCACAGAAAAGAATTTCAGAGCAAGTCACAGAGGGAGTTTTAAAGCACAATTTATTAGAAATGAAAGACATGTTCAAGAGAGAATGCAGATGCCTTAGAGGAAAGGATATGCCAGCCTGCTGTCAGCAGAGTGCTTTACATATCAGGGGTGCCAAAAAAAATGTATACACATTTTAAGAGATGTTATCTATGTATGACTTTTTGAAGTTGAACTAAATTATGGTTGCAATACGTAATATGACATTTGTTCAAAAGATGGCATTAATCCAATGACTTATATTCATCTTTTGTTATTGGTATATAGTGAGTATTACAATTTTAACAGTTTTCTCTTTCTTAAAATGTGTATACCTTTTTTTGGCACCCTCTGTAAATCCAAAATGATGATTAAGCAACCTATTTCTAAGCTAAGTTTAGCGTGCCACATGGGATATATGGCAGGTTATGAGCTATTGATTACAAGTTTCAGTTCTTATCATTTCACTCCTAAGCTTGTGTCATGAGGGACTTTTGAGATAATAGGAAAAGTTACCGTTCAATTAGATGTCTTTTTCTTTTAGACATCATGCCTCAGTGTCTCTGGCAATTCCCTACTTTCTTGTTTGGGGCCTTTGTAGCCAGCCGCCACACATTACAAGCTTGAATCTGGGGTGCTGAGTCAGTGTAGGTATTGTTCAAGAGAGTTATGTTCAAATAAGACAGTGCCCAGATGCCTGACCATCTGGTTTCCTAATTATCTAAGCTATGCCTGCCTATCAGAAACTTATCTATCTGTATCTAGGCTATGCTAACTGTTTTGTCTTAATTTCACATAATCAATTTCAGCGACAATTTTATTTTATTTTATTTTTTTTGAGTTGGAGTCTCACTCTGCCGCCCAGACTGGAGTGCAGTGGCCCCTCCTGGCCACTGTAGCCTTGCCTGCTGGGCTCCGGCGATCCTTCTGCCTCTGCCTTCCGAGTAGCCGGAATTACAGGCACGCGCTACTACACCCGGCTGAGTTTTTTATTTATTGTAGAGATGAGGTCTCGCTGCCCAGGCGGGTCTCGAACCCACGGGTTCGGGCAATCCACTCACCTCAGCCTCCCAAAGGCGTGGGATTACAGGCTGAGCCACCGAGCCCGGCTCGACAATTTTAGATAACTATGTATCCCCCAGAATTCCAGTACCTTGGTACTGCTTTTCACTCATTTTTCAGGTACTTTCTGTATCCTTCCTGACTCTTATAGGTGCATGGAATCAGTATTTTCAAAACGGAGGACTCTGTGCCTATTATTAAGCTACTGTCTCTCAGTTTCTTTTCTTTCCTTTTTTTTTTTTGAGTCAGATCCTCACTCTGTCACCCAGGCTGGAGTGCACTGGCACACTCACGGCCACCACAGCCTCTACCTGTTGGGCTCAGGTGTTCCTTCTGCCTCAGCCTTCCAAGTAGCTGGAACTACAAGCAGGTGCCACCATGCCTGGCTAATTTTTTAATTTATAGTGGAGATAAGGTCTCGCCAAGTTGCCAGAGCTAGTCTTGAACCCATGAGCTCAGGCAATCCTCC